GTGAGCTCCGGCGTACTCTATGAAACATATCTGTTGCGAGTGCGGGTCGCGGTCTACTACACAAAGCTCCCCTTCTCCCTCTAATTTCTTTCCTCCAACTGCTCTCATCACTCATACACCCAACAGACCTAATTTTATAGGCTACCTCTTCCATCTGGGTACCGCTTTATAGCGGACATAAAGAACAGACCCACAGGCACCGCCAGGCAAACCACGACCGGGTGGGAGAGAGAGAGGGGGGGGGGCGGGGTGAAAGAGAGAAGTATAAATAAAGCATGTATAATTGTTGTAAGGCAGAAGTTTTGCTCAATTCATTGATTTACTGCAAAGTAATAATTGAAACAAAATGTACAGCAGATTTTATTTAAGAAAGAGCAGCAAAGAATCAAGCAGCTCTTGTTACAGTAACAACAGCGCATAAGAAGCTCATGTTTTGTAGCACCGTCAACATTACAACAAAACAATAGCAACAACAACAACAACAACAACAACAACAACAACAACAACAACAACAACAACAACAGCAGCAGCAACATCAACAACAACAGCAACATCAACAACAGTTCAAACAACCGCTCTGAAAAAAGCAGCCCCAGCAGCTTCTTCGTTTGTGGTTAAGGTTAGGGTTGGGCTTTAGTGTAAAGTTGAGATTAGGGGAAGTGTTAGGGGTTATGATTAGGGTTTAGGGTCAAAGTCATAGTTACGCAGGAGTAGAGTCAGGATATTAAGGTTAGGATCAGGTTCAGGGTCAGGTTTAGGGTTAGTGTGACAACAAAAACAGCAGCTCAAGCATTCAGTGTAACAACAATAAGGCAACAGTTCAAGAATGTTTAGCGATTGGAATTTTATCAAACAATTTTTTAAAAAGTAAACAGTGTATATATATAAACAGCTCAAGAAAAACTACTGAACCCCCCCCCCCCCCCCCCCCCCCCCCAAAAAAAAAAAATCAACATGTCAGAAGTTATATGACAACCATAAGCAACAGCAACCGTTCAAGAAACTATTGTAAAAACATACACCAAAAAAAAAATAAAAACAGAAACAGCTCAAGCAACTACGCAGTAGCAATAGCGACAGCAACAGCTCAACAAAGAAGCCATTGTAACAGTAACAACAACAGCAACGGCATAAGCAGCTATTGTATCAACAACTTCAGCAACAGCAGCAGCAGCAGCAATAGCAATAGCAAAAGCAAGCTCAAATTAAGCAGTCACCGTAAGAAAAACACCAGCAGGAGCAATATTACAAAGGTGCCTCAAAGTAGTCTCAGGAACGGAGTGATCAGGTTAAATTTAGGCCTTTTAGGGGTTTAAGGGGGGGGGGGGTTTACACCTGGAGGCTATCTCGCTTATTACTGGACGGAATTTTACCAAATTGCACACATATAACAAGCATAGTAAGGAGTCTTACAATCCGCAATCAAATTTGAGAAAAAAGTTTCGTTTCCATGGATACGCCGCCATATTTGATTTTATTGACATGTCTTGCGTAATGAATACCGCACTTATCGCTCGTGGAAATTGATAGGTTTTTTTGCACGCGTGATCACAAACATTAGATCTAAAAATTTGTCTGTTGTTTTTTTCCTAATCGAATTAGAAAATTTTTAATGAATTTTTTCCTGAGGTAACATTCAAGTTTGCGAAAAATCCGTGAAAATCCACACTCCAGACACCACCACCAAAAATCTATTCCATATATCAAAAATTCAACAGAAATTGTTTTAGTATTATCTCTTCTCTTCATTCTGTGAAAATTTCATGAAGATTGGATGAAAAATGGTGGAGTTATTCAAAAAAGTATAGAGAAAAGTCGCATTTTGAAAAAACGGCCGATAAAGAAAAATAAAATACTGACTTTATGAGGAAATGGCGGTTACAAACATGCCCGGTATGGGAAAAAATACGGTTTTTGGGGGTTCTTATGCCATTAAATAGTTGTAGGAGAGACTGAGGAAGCTCAAAATGGTATCAACTCAAATTCCATGATTTTGAGCCCAATTTTGATTTTGGGGGTGTAGCCCCCCCCCCCCTTAAAGAGTGAAAAGAAGTTAGTGCAATAATGTGCTTATTCGTACCGTGCGTGTGTATGTGTGTGTGTGAGTGTGTGTGTGTGTGTGTGTGTGTTTCCTCGTCATGCCCGGTATAGTATGAAATCGTTTTTTTTGTCTTTTTTTTTCGACTTCAATTTATTTTTTCTCACTTTTCGAGACTCTTTTACTAGCGTATTGTTTTTGTTCTCTCCCTTACTTCCCGGTAACTAAGTACGACGCACATATTACAGATATGGAGTATATCATACTAGCACTCAGCGCAGAGTCATTATCGAGATTATACGACCAGACATGG